TTGTGAGTAAATTATAGCCCTTAGGATCTTCTTTCAGTTTTTCTGGTCTTATGGAGTTGTAAAAATTTAGCTGTTTAAAATTCTTAAAGTAGGAATAGTTTAAGTATTCTCTTGTGTAAGATTTTGATTTCTTCGCTCCTGCAAATGGTAATGTACTCAGCTGGAACATTAATTATTTGATTTTTAGATTAGTTTTTGTGGGCCACTCAGTTGAATTGATCCCAAATAAAAGTTTATATGTACTCAGATACAGATTATTAATGGTTTGACCCAAATCAATTTTAAAAAGAACATTTTTATTGAAGCTTGAGATATTACAAACTTTTGTAAAAATAAAATTTAAATATAAGTAATTACTAAATAATTTTAAACTGTTTAATAATCACAGATCAGACATAGAATATCTTTGTAACTCATTTATTACATTTAATATATTTGACATGTTCATTACAGATTTATAAGGTGTATCTAATTTCAATAAATTTTTATGCACAAATATCATGCTTCAGATATTGTGGAATAAAGTACTTAGATATTCTATTTAACAGATATCCAACATAAAGGATTAACAATATAAACAGGTTAACACAATAAAACAAAGGATTAATTTTTGAAATTCTAATAGCTTATAGATTAGTATTTATAAATGAAAAGTTTTTAATCAAAAGTACTACACTCAAATATCAACAGCACCCTCATTTGCCAGTATTTCCATGTTTTCTCTATTAACTACAATGTTATGTAAAACTGAACAACCTGTTAGGTATTATTCTTTGAACAAAAGGTAACTATAGGCTATTCCACGAATATACGACTGTTTTGGTTTGCTGCTACAACGAATATTTTACTGTGCAAGTAGAAGTATGAAGGTCAATTGGTCTAATCATTATTCCAATAAAAAGGGTCTACTAGTATGACATCTAAACTAAAATTATTTCAGTTAAAATCTACAAATAAATACAATGACGTCTATGAAGCCAAATGTGTTCATCAGACATTTGGGTAAGCTTTCCGTGAAATGTAAACAACAAAGAGTCGTGCCGGGTTTCTTTTATATAACACATTTTATTACTTTATTAGGTATTTACAACTGTAATAAAAAGAAATATTTTTAATATAAATGAAAAGAAATTGGCAGAACGATGGTTCACAAACCAGAAAAAGGATCTAATATTTCACTTTGTTAGTTTTAAATATTTGTTTGCTTTGAGTTTATGTACTCTTAAAAGTTCCGAAAGTAATGGGTATAACATACCGGCTATTGATAGTTAAAGTACCGAGTCATTACAGATATTAAAAAGTAACGAAAATTTATATACAGTTTCATATATCGCCGACTGATTATGGCTGTGAATCTGATCGTTGATGATAGTTTTAGAAGATTAAGAGAATAAGTTAATAAGTAAGTTTTTTTGTTTTTTTTTTTTAATATTAATTGAATATTCGACTAAAAAATTTACACTATTTGATCACTTAAGTATTGTTACATTTCGTTTTTTTTTACTTAATTAGATGGCTTTGGTAAAGACCAATTAGCCAGACAATTTTTTTTAACTATAATAATTTAAAAAAGAAAACTTTAAAAGAAAACTCATCCTTCTTCACAATAACAATGCTTAAAGTATTAGTAGTGCTTAAAGTTAAGTGTGAGCAGTGTAATTTGTTTTTTTTTTCGTCGCCCACTTACAAAATCTAACTAGTTGCAGGATTGCTTACAAAGAGGTGGTTAGTAATTTACAATTTCATTTTGCACCGTTTGGTGTGAATTATATAAGCAGTACAATATATTAATATTCTTATTGAAAATTATACAATTTAAATTTATAGGTAAGCAAATTTTGTTATTAATAACTTCATTATAAAATTTATCTGTGCTTTGACTATTTAATGAACAACCAAGTAGAATATGTGTTAAGTCTCCAAGTTCCCCACACAAACATGAGGAATCATCAATTAAACCAATTTTACATTTATAGCTTGGTGACATTGCATGATTTGCTCTTATTCTGTTGAAATTAATAATAAAGTTCCTGTTGTTTTCGTTGTAGAACCATCTTATTATTGGGATTTGGACTTGACATGATTTATAATTTAATCCTATTTGTTTGCTGTCATATAGTTCTTGCCATTTAGCCTTAAGTTGAACTTTAAGTGTGGAATTCAAATCTGTATATGGAATACACTGGTTAATAGAATCTCTGTGTAAGTCTGAGGCGGATTTTGCAAACTTATCAGCAATTTCGTTTCCTGAATACCCGAATGCCCTTTGATCCAAACTATTAGCACCTCCCGTTGCGAGCTAAGTATTTCGTGATTGTTCTGTAGTATTTCTACTTCTAGATGACTTAAGTTCTTGGCCGCACTTATATTTTTTAGTCTCTCTATGACACTTTTGCAATCTGTAAATATAATACTTTTGAGTCTATACGTCCTAAGTATATATTTTAGAGCTTCACTTATTGCAAACATTTCTGCTGTATATATCGTTGCCTCATCTGGTAATCTGAACTCTTCATGATATTTTGAGGTGTGATCATAAAAAGTGTACCTGTACGAATTTGTTTTGATCCATCGGTGTAAATGTGATAATAGTCAGGCCATCGTTGATTAACCGTTTCGAGGAAGTGGTCGTTTTTGTCAATCTGAAACGTCTTAATTTTTTTAGAGAAAAGGACATGCGGATGTTCTGAAAATATTGGTTGGATTTTTGATGTGTACAGTACGACCTGAATTGGGACAGAGTGGTATAACTTTTCACAAATTAGCGGAGTTTTCTTTTTTAGCCAATAAGACTGTGTGAGTACTGAAATTGACAGTTTCATGGATAGGAATTATATAACTTTCGGATTTAGCAAATGCTTTTGTGATAAACTTGTTACTAATTAGTTGCCTTCTTAGTTGTAACGGTGGTTCTACAGCTTCTGCTTCCATAATATTCATTGGGGTTGAGATATCCAAGACATATTCTTAGACTTTTGTTTTTTTGGGTTTCTATTTTGTCTAAATGAATTTGTGCCGCTGATCCATACAAATGACTACCATAATCCAGGATTGATCTTATCATGGTTCTATAAAATAACAAGGCGATATTTGGGTCAGCCCCCCATTTTGTATAACAAAAGGCTCTCAGTATGTTAATAGCATTTTCAGACTTTTTTTTTATTTAATGGATACAATCTTTCCATAATAGTTTCCGGTCAAGGTATAATCCTAAGTATCTCACAACATTTATTATTTGAAAATTATAAGGTCCCAGTTTTACATGATCCTGTTCAATGTTTCGTCTTCGGCTAAATAGACACACCTCTGTTTTGTGTTCAGAAAGTGTAAAATAATTTTCATTCAGCCACTCGTTGAAGATGTCATAAGTTTTATTTAATTCATATTCACAAGTTTCAAAGTTTTTTCTTGTACAATAAAAAACAATATCATCTACAAATTGTATTGTTCTTATGTTATGAAGTTTAACACTGACACCCATTGTATATAATAAAAACAAAACTGGACTTAAAATACTGCCTTGGTCTTAGGTTCGTAGTTCTGGGTCTAATGGTTACTCGATTTATTTTTATATGTATTTTCCTGTTTGTGTACAGTGAAGTTATAAAGTTCGCTAATTGTGTATTAAATCCAATCGAAATCAATTTATTGGTTAAAACATCTAGGTTAACGTTATCAAATGCACCTGTAATATCGTTGAAACCTGCCATAGTCATGAGGTTACTAGTAAATCCAGCTAGAATATCTGTTATAATTACTGTTAATGTTTCCAATGTTGACCTAGATTTTCTGAAGCCATATTGTATATCAGGTAGAATATGTTCTTTCTCTAGCCATTGCTTAAGACGATTTTTGATAAGTCTCTCGAAGGTTTTCAACACACATGAAGCTAATAATATGGGCCTATAAGAGGTTGGAATGCAATCCGGTTTGTCGTGTTTATACTACATTTCGTTTAAATCACATAATTCAGAAACCAACTTGTTTACAATGAAATAATTGAAATGAAAAAATAAACTCCATGATAGTAATTATATACTTCAAAATCTGAATTACAACTGTTTTATAAACTATTAACTTTATATTTATATCATGACTTCATATTTAAATCTAAGGTTTATATCTGTCGTAACAGTAATTTAAAAATGGGGAGAATTTACTGTTGTACAATTCAGTACATTGGACCACTTAAATCGACACCTTAAAGCGAATTTAAAACAGTCGTATATTCGTGGAATGGAGTATAGCATCTCATTCCACATGTTAAAATGGTAGATCTCTTTAAAATACCAAAAGCTCTGTCATTCACAATTCTTGACGCAATTTGTGATAGATTATCCAATATCCATAAATTCCCTATTTTATATACCCATAATATGTATAAGTATAAGTATTTAACACCTAAAATATCTACTTCTAATAATTGTACTTTCATATTGTACGACGAGTATTATGAGTTACGGTACCTATTCTTTAAATGATAAAATAATTAAATTCGACGTTTTACTATTTTCAATTATCTTATTTTAATTTTTATTCTAGGATCGTATAATAGGTAACAAATACAATTTATAGTGTATAGATTATTTTGATATATACAAAAATATTTAATGTCATTCGTCAAAATAAAAGAATAAAATCTATGTTTGCAATAACTCTCTATTGTCGACATACGCATTAGGAAAGATTTCAAACTTTCAAGTTAGTGTGTTACCCATGGTTACGCGAAGGGTTCCGGATTATTGGACATGTCGGTTTCTTGAAGTGCCGAATTAGTGAGATTCTACTGTATAAACATTCAAATAGACGAATTTGGAAGATTTATTGAAAAGCGGCTGCCTGATTCTGATATAATTGTATTATTTGTCTATACTTTAAAATAATTTATTATCAGTGGATATTCCTTTAAGTTTAGTATATCATTAGAACAAACTAATTATATTTGATCGAATTTATTTTCTAGTCTATTGCTTGATCTAACTATCATATATTTTATGCAGTGAGGGAGATGGAATAACATTTGCACAGCGTCAAATGGAAGAAGACCTTGAAGGACTACTACATGTGAACTACGAAGATGAACATGATTCTGTTTGAAGTCCAAATTTAACCTAATATATTATACAAGAATTTTATCCTTAATATTTTATGACGGTCTAGTCACTTATCAACAGATCAAGATAGGTTAATTTGTATTAAATATTTATTTCACAAGTATATAATACTGGATGTGGCATTAAAACTACTACTTTAGCAATATTACAGTATTTTTACTTCTCTATTTAATATATATACAATAAAATATAATTAAATAACCAATATACAATACATATTAAGAACCATGTATAATGTGTGTAGAATTTTAAATTGTGTGCTCATGTTGTAAAAAAGAAGCTGGCCAAAGGATCTACTACTTATAATTGAAAAGTACAGTTGTTAAATTTAAATATGGCATATGATATCCGGATCTGTTCTGGAAATATCTTCTTTATGACCTACATTTCCACATACGTATTTCATTTTGTAACTCTTAAAATTCAACCAACAATTTCCTATACGTAAATTATTTATTATATTTAATGGGATTTACACCACAATTTCAGTTGAAAATACGTTTATTTAGACATTTCGATTTCCATTTCAGAAAACGTTCTGACAATGCAAATTAAACAAATTATTATGTGTTGTTACTTTGTGATAAAAAAATCTTCTAATAATTTAATTTTATTTGCCTCATTCATATTGATAATTCAGGCGTTTTGGGTACTCGTCACGATGGATTTGCTTGAAAATTTGGATTTAAGTTCCTCTTACCCTCTACTTCACTTTTGGACTTGAGCCCATGGTTGCTTTTACTTGGCGGTGAAAGGCACCCCTTCTCAAGGGGCAACAAACTTTCAAAATAAGTCCGGAAATGGATAAATTGAATAATTCTAAGCAACTTTTGTCCTATAGAATTTTTTCATCAAGTCAATACTTTTTGAGTTATTTGCGAGTGAAAATACTGCAGCCTTGATACAAAATTGCATATACATTCCAGAAATTTGATATTCAATCAACAAGTGAATTTCTTTGAACTTAAAAACAGATTACCATGTGTTAGCCAGTTTGACAATGAGAGTTTACTGAATAGAAGAAAATAATATATATTAATTTATATTATAATTAAATATATATTTATATTTAAATTATATATAAATATATACTTTAATTCATAACATTTTGATTAAAACATTATTGTTTTTATAGTTTCAATGAAAAAAAACAGCATTCAAATTTCTTCGCAAGGGGTGGCTTTTATAAGGGGTAGAAATTATGTGGTAAAAAATTAAAATAGTAAAGAAATCTAAATTTAATGTCACTGAATAATTAAATAATTCCATTTTCATGTTTCAATTTAGAATTATATGATTTTTTTCTAATAGGAGTCGTTTCCACCGCTAAAAAATAAAAGCAACCAACAGCACAAGTCCAATTTTGAAGTGGACAATAAGTAACCTAAATCAAAATTTTAGTGAAAATCAGTGGAAACAAGGTATTCAATGACATTTTTTTAATTATAACTATTATAGGGGTAAAATTTAGGGGTTAAACTGTTAAAGTAAAATGATGTTGTTTAATGTTAATTGACATTCATTCACTTCATTAAAAGATGATTTTTTTTCTAATAGGGGTAGTTTTCACCCTAAAAAAATAAAAGCAACCAACGGTACAAGTCCAAAAGTGAAGAGGAGGGTAAGTATAACCTGAATCCAACTTTTCATGCAATTCTGTGGTGATACTGTTTCATTTACTGGTCTAATTGTCAATATCTTTGAGGAGCGTTTCCTGGGACGAATTTATTGAAGAATAGTTCGATTACATGACATTACCTTTTTGCCTCATAGCATTTGATTTGTCTTGACCCTTTTCTTGCCAAACCACTATAAAAATTTGAAAACTGTTTTCTTTCTATTAATGCCCTTATTCCTTATGCCTTAGAATCATTTAAAATTTTATGATATAGATCTATCACCTTTAATTTATCGATAAGTACCAAATTTGAATTTGTTACAAATATGTCACAATGTCAAGGATACCGCAAAACTTGTTATCACTGATGATCCATGCATTTTCTAAGGTTTGAAACGATTTATCAAAATAAAGTTCAAATTTCTTATATCTGAGTTCATGGGAGTCATAATACGCCCCTCATTAAATTTTAGTAAAATTAGTTTTTTTTTTAATTAATAAAAAGTCGCCCTATAGGCCCTTATTCTAGCCACCGCCTCAGTTTTGGCTCCATTCTATGATTTAATGACATCCTTTATAATATTAATGTTGTGGTTTGATTTGTAATTTAGATATCTGTTAATGTGTATTGGTTTTCAATACAGTACTCTTCTATCTATATAGAACACAAACATATCGATGAAATAAACATAGATAGAAGATAGAAGAGATCTGAAAAACTATAGGCCCATAACGCTAGTTAATGCAATGTACAAACTATTCACAGTACAAGTGACCATCTGCTTACGATAAAAATATTAATTGAAAAGACCAACGAATATCAAACCCCAATGTATATGGCATTTGTAGACTTTGAAAAAGCATTCGATAAGGTGGAACATTGGACAGTAAGAACTCTTTACAAAATGGGAGAATAGACTATAGATATAAGGACTTAATTTTCAATATATATGATAAATAAGACTAATATTAAGAGCGAGGAGTCAGACAAAGTGACACTATGTCACCCAAATTATTCAATCAAGCTTTGGAAGACGTTATGAGGAAATTACAAATAGAAAACCGGGGTATTAACATAAATGGTCAATACTTGAATCACTTGAGATATGCAGACGACATTGTATTAATAACAGATAAAAGGGAAGAATTACAAAATATGATGGATGAATTAAATAGCGAATCAACAAAAATAGGTCTACAAATGAATTATAATAAAACGAAAATTATGACCAACCAACCAGAAGAATTAATAATTACAATTGCATAAACAACTATAGAACAAGTAAAAGAATATGTTTATTTGGGACTAGTTAAATTAAATAAAGAAAATCAGATCGGAGAAATAAAGAGAAGGATGTGGTTGGCTTGGGTATCCTTCGGAAAACTTTCTTATATACTAAAAAATAGAAAATACCCCCAATATTTAAAAACAAGTGTCTTTAACTAATGTATACTTCATGTTCTCACCAAGGGTTCTCAAACTTGGACGTTTACAAAGACAAACATGGAAAAAATAGCAAAGACCCAAAGAGCCATGGAAAGGCAAATGCTGAACATCAGGCTGTCAGACAAGAAAATACTTGGATCCGCAACAAAAAAAAGTGACCGATGTATCAACGCAGATAGCAAAACATAAGTGGAAGTTCGCTGAACATACTATAAGATAGAAAGACGACAGATGGAATAAGATGGAGACCATATAGTTACAAACGAAAAAGAGGAAGGCCACAAATGAGATGGTCAGATGACTTGAAGAAATACGCAGGCCCGAAGTGGATACAAACTGCCTACAATAGAGAGACGTGGAAGAAGGAAGAGGAGGCCTATGTCCAAAATTGGACTGCAAGGGCTGTATAGATAGATAGACTCTTCTCTCTATATAGGTAACCAATATGCCCCTTTGAGATTAAAACATCTAGGAAAATTTATGAGTTAATATATTTCTTTTTCATGATAAATGTTACAAACTCTTCTTCTACATGGTTTATATTCATCAAGAATATAAACTGATATGGTCGTAATATGAAGCCATGTAGAGAACACATTATCTAATTCCCATTAAAGATAATAAATAATATTAAAAAAGGTAATAATATGCTCGGAAGGTAATTTCTAAAAGAAATTACTTTACGAACAATATTGATGAAAAATTAGCTTAGTCATTGACTTGTGCATTTGCAGATTTGATATTTCTAAATTACCAGAGCACATTCATATACCTACACAGTAATAATCATTTATTCAGATTATGTTAGGGAATATATTTTACAGAAACCTTGCATTCCGTAAAATATTAAGATAGCGGGTGTTTAAAAGTCTCGACATGTTCCTTGTTTATTTATAATAAAAATGCATTTTTTTTTATATATTTTATAATATTAATAATTTACAAAAAAAAACGAAAAATAAGAAAATAGTAGGCAAATTGTTAAGGTAAAAGCACTAATTTATTGCCATGGACTTCTCGCAAATTTCATTTAAGTCTTTTTCTTCTACTAGTTGTCTGATGTTTGGTGTTGTTAAGTATTATTGCGTATTTTTATTAATGGGATTCTCCGATCTCACTCAAACATTTTTTCTTCTTCTTCTTCAGTGCCTTATCCGGTCCGGATGTTGGCAATCATCAAGGCTATCATGGTTTTGTTGACTGCTCTGCGAAACAGCTCCGCTGAGGTCATCCCTCAGCAACATTTTTTGTGGTAAATAATTATTAACATATTTCCTATAATATGGAAAACATATCGGGATGTGGGAACACGCTAACGCAGGTTTTTTCAACTACCCGATTAATCGCCCATATTGTAAAATGACTAGTTTGCGATGGATAGGTAGTAAAATTTTGATGAGAATATAATTATCAAAATTAATTAAATTAAGGGACAGTCTCATGCGATTAAAAAAAGACACATTTTAAAATTAAAGCAGAAAAAAAACTATAATATTTATTAACATAATTTCTTTTGGAGATGATTAAGTCTTAAAGTACATAAAAAAAAATTTAATAGCGATTTTAACTTCATTGGTGTCCTGTAGTTGGCGTGTAGTAAAAAGTGCGTTTTTGGTGGTGAGACACTTTGTGGGTCACCTGTAACAGATATTAAAAAAAAATCAAAATGGGTTGTATTCGTGAGACTCAAAACTAGATGAGAAACTTTTAAAATTTGCAAATTGTATTATTTTGAAGAGTTTATACGAATTGTTTAAAAAAAGTCGAAAAATCGCTATATTTTTGGGTGATTTACCCATATATAATTAAAGGGGAGGTGGTTTTCGTGGGTACATTCGAAAAATTTTTGGTTTTTTTAAAATCGGTTAAGAAGGTTCGGAGAAAAGTGTCTGACCAGTTTGAAAATGTTACTTTTGAGAAAAAAGCATTTAAAGTTTTTTTACATAATTTAGAATAAAAGGCTGATAACTTTATACTCACGTTTAATCGGCCATTCCTGGTGAATATTGAGGACCTTCTTCATCCAACAGTTGTTCTAAATGGCTTTGTAAAGCTTTTTTCTTTTTGATTTTCTTT